CAAGTCAAAAAATAATAAAAAGAACTTTAAAGGGTCAAAGTAATCTGTAAGGATGAAGTTACAAGTAAAGTAAAGTAAAGGGGATAGGAGGCATTACTCATAGGTATATCCTCGAAGGGGTTGAAAGAAGTGAGAAGAGTAGACATTAGTGAAAGTTAAGTGACAGGGGCCGAAAGGGGATGAAGGTAGTTGGAAGAGAAGTTTAGAGGAAGAGGGAGGTCGTGGGCCGCACCAAGAAATTTATTGAAAACAATTTGTAATTACAAGATAAATACACACAATATAAAAGTTACATTATTAGCAAGAGGCGGTAGCGGGTATAAAACCTAATTACACTATAGTGCCCCTGTTTAATATATCGCAGACTGTTCACTAATGTGCAGTAACAACAGAAAAGAAACAGTTGAAATCATTCACCTAAATGTTGTGAATGCCAGATACAAAAAGTAAGGCAACAGCCCCTGTAAGCAATAGGGATCCTGCCCCATACAATGATTACATAATAGGAGATACAAAGGGGGGTAACGGTAAACCCACAAAGGGTACACACGAGTACCAGAGAAGCCGCGTGAATACCTGGCATTTATATAGTAGAAATTCGCGTGCAGTGGAAGTACCCTGGCAGGTTAATCTTCTATTTTTCTTATTTCCAGTGCTTTGGTTTCTATGATAAATTTCATTAGCTCTTCGTAGATGTTTTTATTGTTCACCAGGATGTTGGCAGCACACGGCCATCCTAAGCCTTTTTGGATCACCGTTTGAATAAGTTTGGTTCTTTGGTGTTGGAAGGTGATACAATCGAAGATAAGGTGTTTCGTATGCTGAACAGAAGTATCGTCACAGTCACAATAGTTAGTGTCCCTGTGCCCGAACCTGTGTAGGTAGGACGTGAAATTCCCATGGTTCGTAAAAAGTTGCGTGCTTATATAGTCTATGTTGATGTAATGTAGATGGAGCTGTTGATTGATACTCGGGAAGAATTCAAAAGTGATCCTTCCTGTTTTTTCTTCTTCCCACTGCCGTTGCCACATATGGACAATGGTTTGGTGAATTAGATTTTTGACAGTTTTTGGGGATATATGAAGAATATGCGGGTTTGTGTCACTGTTAGCAGCCTCCTTGGCCAGGCGATCTGCCTCCTTGTTGCCAGTATCGCCGGCGTGGGCACGCGTCCATTGGAATGTGATATTACCCTTAGTGTTCGCAAGTTCACTGTTAATTTTACTATGTAGGTTGTCATCCATTTTGTTGTTCCTTATACTTAATAAGGCTGCCCTGCTGTCAGAGCAGATGGTGATACACTTGTTATTAAGATAGCTAATGCTGTTGACATAATGAAGTGCTTTGTAGATGGCAAAGAGCTCAGCTTGGTAAATAGTGCTGAAATTGGGCAGCCGAAAGCCCTCTTGCCAGATAAAGAGATTCCTTTTGGTGTTTAAGTGTGCTATCCCGGCTCCTACCCGATTGCTCTGCTTAGACCCGTCTGTATAGATGATATGATTCATAGTTTGAGAATCGTCCCGGGCATTGAGATTGATATCTGGTGTGTTTGCAGGGTGGAGAATGGGGACATAGTTGCATTTGTTCGTGAATTTGAGGTTAGGATGCAGGAAGCTTTCAATATCCAAGTTGGGTAAAATCCCAATGTTTATGTAGGAGTAAAGATCTTTCTCATACTTCTTGGAAATTACCAGGTTGTTAAGCCTCCAAGTTGCCATGAGAGCCTTGGCTCTCAAGTAAACTGGTTGAATACTTGCGAGCACCTGATGAGCCGAGGTTGGGGCAGTGCAATAGGCCCCTGTGGCCCTCATGAGACAGATCCGTTGTACTTTTTGTAGTGCCCTTTTATTGTGAACTTTCATGGCCGCCTGACCCCATATAGGGGCTCCATATAGCAGAATGGGCTCAATTACCTGCTTGTAGATGTTCGTTATGGTGTTCCTGTTCATTCCCCATTGCTTTCCCGTGAGGTAACAGAGAAGGTTAACCATTTTGGCGGCTTTACTGCATGCGTATTCGATCTGCTTGTTCCATTTTAGCCCTTGGTCAAAAATGATGCCAAGGTACTTAAGGTTGGCAGTGTGTTGGATCTTCTCCTTGTTAATATATAAGGAAGGAGGTTTTTGAAGTTGACGGCCTTTTGATAAAAGCATGCACGCCGATTTCCTAATATTGATGGTCAATTTGTTGGCTGTGCTCCAATTGTAGATGGTCATTAGAAGCTTGTTTGCCTCTATTTGAAGCTTTTTGCTGTTTTTGCCAGAAAGTAAAGCTAGCGTGTCGTCGGCAAAGCCCTGGATTGTCCAGGGGGCATTGATGTTCGTCATGCTGGTGGAGAGTAGGTTGTTGAACATAATGTTCCAGAGCCCGGGTCCTGAGCGTGAACCCTGTGGGCAGCGACAGTTAATCTCTCTTGAGATTGGGGATGCCGTGTCTACAATGCTGACCTCCCTCTCATGAAGGTAATCCCTTAAAGTTAAATAGAGATTTTTCGGGCAGTTGAACTCCTTCAGACGGTGCAACAGGGCTGGCCACCAGAGGGAATTAAAGGTGTTTTTGTAGTCGATTGAGATCATAAGAGCGTGGTGATCTTTGTTCCACGCCTTATTAATGAAATGGATGGTCCTATGCAGTATGTGATATGTTGACTTTTTGGGGACAAACCCATACTGGTTAGGGTGCATAAGTTGATTACTGTAGAGGTAAAAGTTTATCCAGTTTATTAAGAGCCCATCATAGACCTTGCCAAGGACAGGTAGCAGACTGATTGGCCTGAAGTTAGTTGCTTCGTCGGTGTTCTTTTTGCCTATTTTAGGAATAAACTTAATAATAGCCTTTTTCCAGCATTTGGGGAAGCAGTGTTGCTCCAGACATTTGTTATAAGTGATAACGAAAGCCATTGGAATGGCCTCAAACGCTTTTTTGGCCATGATGGGAGTGATCCCGTCGTACCCTGGCGCTTTTTTGTTATGTAATGAGGTGATTGCCTGTTGTATCTCTTTGTATTTAAATATGCTATTGTTTTTGGAGTTAGGTGCAGTATGGGTACTGTTCCTTAAGCTTTTTTGCGTTTTTGTGTCTTTTTCTGGGTCGTCGATAGGAAAGTGAGTGTCCAGGAGATGGTTGTATGTGTCATCAAGGTTAGTTGTAAGAGTGCCATTTCCTTTGCTAATATTAGCCGGAATATTGACCGCTTTACTAGGTTTTAATATAATGTGGTAGGGGTCACTCCAATTCTTTTTGTTACCAATGTCAGAACAGAATTTTTTCCAAGCGCTAGTCCTTGCCTTGTTTATTTCGGTCTTGTAAATATTGAACTCCCTGATATAGTTATGTTTTTTTTACTTTCTTTCGGAGTTAAATCGCTTTCTCTTTTAAAAATTTTATAAAGATGCCTGACCTTTTGTCTCTGTGTGTTAAGAAATGGAGTCCACCATGGTGCATTTAGACGATTTTTTGTTTTGGTTTTGGTCGACTGCTGATAGGAGACAAGGATTGAGTAAGTGAGATGGTTAGCGAGTTCCTCACCTTTGATGTTACTGAGCTCTTGTTGTTGTGGATGTGCCCAATAGTGCTTGAAGAGATCTTGAAATTTATTCCAATTGGTTTTGTTTACTAGGTTCAGATGTTTGTTAATGGAGGAGTTCGTGCAATCAAGGGTTGTTTTTATGTACCTGTGATTGCTGGCACTACTGTCGTCAAGGGTGTTGCAGTTGACAATATTCCTGTGCACTTTGTAATTGGCGAGGAACAAATTCACCCAGCTTTCTCTTCTAGGGCAGTAATAAGTCGGCAGAGGACTACTGTTACAGGAGACCAAGCGGTGTTTGGCCATAAATTCAGTTACACTGAACCCCCGCGGGTCTTCTTTTGGGGCATGCCATACTGGAGACTTGGCGTTAAAGTCTCCGCTGACCATAAGGGTGAAGTTACAGCCTGAACTTTCCTGAAAAGGAAATCGCGGAAGAGGTTTTGGAGGATTATCCATATTTATTTCCACCCAATTTTTTTAGAGGTGTCGACTCCATTGTCGCTGAGATCTGATGATTAATTTTCGCTAACGGTGATGCAGCTGTCTGATTCACTCTCAGACAGTTCTTCGATGTCAAATTCCGAATCTGACATTCTGACAATAAAGAAATTTATCTAAAACTTGTTATATTTATTGAACACGAAATAAAATAATATAATATTTCCGGAGAATAATAATTATTATTTCTTATAAACTTACTTGATACAATAGCGAAATATGTTTATTTAAAACAGAAAATAGCGATTTTCCAACTGTAGCAAAAGGGAAAAAAATTATCTAAAAACCTGTTATATTTATCGAACGCGAAATAAAACAATTATTATTATTTTCTGGAAATATTATATTTCTTATAAACTTGCTCGATAAAATTCATCCAGTTATTTTCAAGTTAGTTATTCTAACAAGTAAGATCGCACTAGACCACTCGATGTGGGTTCCTGTCCGTGGTGAGGGGACCTCCCAGAGATGGTTTAGTAATTTTTCTTTACCATCCCTGGGATCTGAACGCCCACCCACGTGTTTGCCGTGCGTGGTGTCCCGTATGCCGGAAAGGGGGATCCTGGTAGTTGAGGGGCAACATAATGTCCCCAACACACTACTTTGGCCCCCGCTTCGGATAAACGGGAGGCTCAAATCAGGCTTCGTTTGAGTCAATCGGCTGGTCGTTGAGTCATTCTTGACTTCGGCTTGGAGTCAACTGATCGATGCAGACCGGGCAGACACGTCAGACAAGATGTGCTCTTCTTGACTGCATTGTGAGGGTATAGCTCCTGGGAAACCCTGGTGTGACGGTCTATGGGAGTTTCCCATGTGACGGCATCCCCTCGTTTGGCCCCGTGGTGGGTGGGGTCACTAGGAGCTGAATGATTATCTCTAAATATGGATTTTTTAAAATCTAAAACATTTACCAAGGCACTGCCACCAAAGGAGGTTAATTCCTCCAATCAACCAACCTACCTTATCGTTCATGCTACAGGAGAAACACCTGTCTAAACGCTCTCCTTTTTTAATCCAGAAACTTTTTGAATCAACTATTGGGCATGTTAAAAAAATCCAAAAATTGAGGTCGGGAGATCTACTCGTAGAAACAGCTTCCTCTCAACAGTCAGGAAAACTTTTGAATTTGAAGTCTCTAGGAGACATACAAGTCACTATCACATCACACACAAGTTTGAACTTATCACGTGGTGTGATATCTGAAATTGATCTGATGTCTGAGGACGAATCAGATATTCAGATTGGCCTTTCAGACCAAGGAGTTACTGCTGTACGACGCATCTCCATTCGTCGAGATGGCAAGATAATTCCTACAAAGCATTTAATCGTCACATTTAACAAACGAACAATACCATCTTTTCTTACCGCAGGATATTTGCGCTGCTCGGTTCGCCCATATATTCCAAATCCGCTGCGTTGTTTCAAATGCCAGCGATTTGGACATTCCCAAACATCCTGTCGAGGCAAAAGTTTATGTGCACAGTGTGGAGTTGAAGGTCACCAGAGTACTGAGTGTACCAGCACTGCATGCTGTGTAAACTGCAAAGATGCCTATCCTGCCTACTCACGAAAATGCACTGCATGGCAGAAAGAGAAAGAAATTCAGCGATTGAAGACTGTTAATAACATATCTTACCCAGAGGCACGTCGCATGGTCACTTTAAGTGCACCAGTGAAACAGAAGACATTTGCTGCTGTTCTGAAATCCACAAAGACATGTGGAGTTCAGACAGACATTTCTGTTTCACCAATTGAATCTCTGACTCGCCATGAAAAATGTCTGCTGATACTATCTACCAAAGAAAAAGAACAAAACAAGACAAAACCAATCATACCTAAAACAGGGGTAACAACTAGGAATGTGGGTTCCAAAAAAGCCAGTAAGAACCCTCTTAATAAACAACAAATGAAAGCAGCCCTCTCTAAATCCAAAAAATCGGAGACTCAGTCTATGAGTGAGTTCTCTGACTTTTCAGACGAAGAGACTAATAAGGAGGTGACACCACCAACGTCACCTTTAAAAGAAAAAGCCCCTGTGAAATTAAAGAGGGATAACCTTGCTAAAAATGCTGCCTCAAACACATAATGGATTATAAAATAATCCAATGGAACTGTCGTGGTTTTTGCAACAACTTTTCTGACATTAAACACTTGACATCATCTACCTCATCTCTCTGCGTGGCACTACAGGAAACACATCTAAAACCTGGAGAAAATATTTTTTCAAAAGGATTTAATCTCTATTGCAAGGATGATGATAGCCACAACCGTGTTAGTGGTGGTGTGGCTATTTTGATTTCAAATTGCATTCCATCCTTACCGGTACAAATAACAACAGAGCTGCAAGCTGTGGCAGCCAGAATATCTATTGGAGTAACTGTCACAGTTTGTTCTATATACNACCATTTTTAAAAAATAAATAAATATACATACAGATTTCTTTTCCATTAAAAACATATTATCTTTCAAAATTTGACAGTGTACATTTGCACTACTTTAAAAAAAAACAATTTAGAATACAACAAAAATTCATTTCCTGGACAATGTATAATTCTTATGATGTTAACTAATCTATCTTAGTGCCCTCTATTATTTATACCATTGCTGGTCTATTTGCATACCGGTTGACACATTTATTAAATTATCATTATTATATTTTATTACTTCTATGTGCTCCTTAAATTTCACTAAATCAACATTAAAAACAGCTAAACCATCGGAAAATTCAGAAGAAGATGTATAGTGTAACTGTATACAAGCTTAGTGCTGTACCTTCTATGTACTCCTTGCTTTAGCTCATTAAATTGTTTTACTTGTTAAATGGGCGTTGTGCGGACTTCTGATGCCCAAAGATATCTTTTCAACTTACCCATTGCTCCTCCGTGCTGGATATTTTAAAAACTCTCCAATAATCACTATAAGCATGAAAATTGCGAGTTTAGACGCATTATTTCTTAACTGGTTTCAGTCCTGACAAGAGTGGAAAATTTTTACTATTTTCCCACCTTCGACTGAAACACAGAAAAAGCCATCCAGTGACAACATGAGTGGATCTCGCCTATCTGTCCCCGATCAAAGGGGTTTAGAGTTTGACGCTCTACCCCCCAGCTTCTCACACGGTTAATGGCCTGTTTTTTCTTCCTACCAAGTGATCTAAGGTTTGTAATGACAGGATCTGAAGAAATTAAAAGATTATGTAAAATCGCTATATTAGTGTTTATTCTAAAAGTTTTCTGGGAATAACTCTCACAAATTTTTTCTAAATTCCTTACGTCTAGTCTCTTGCGCTTCTGACAATTGTCCTATTGGAACAAATAACGAAGATATAAATTTTGATCCGTGTATTAAAACTTTGCGAAGAGTGACTGACATTGGAGACTAATGATAAAGCATTACATATTACTCCACTGTTTCCTTCGTGTATATTTCGAATTTGCTTGTATCAATTTCGTAGTTAGATTCCAGTGCTTGTAATATAACTATAAATCTTTCTATTAGGGTCGTATTGATACCAGTTATCTCTGCAGTGAGAGTGACATTCGTAAAAAATTTTGCCGAATTACTGTTAGGCTGAAAACATTTGTGATTTAATAAATGTTCTTAGCGTTATAAGGTGTTAAATGTTTTATTAAGTGTTTTAAAAGGAAGCTGAGTTTGATATTTAATTTATAAAGCTATCAATAACTTATATATATACATTAGTTATTGATAACTTATATATATGATAAGTTATTGATCAACAAGAAAAAAAAAAAAAAAATATATATATATATTTTTTTTTCTTGTTAATACTGACTCTTTCTCTTCGGTTTTGCTCACTTGCCATTTTTTAATATCCATTCGATACGCTATGTGAAGAATGCATTCTATGAATTTCATGGGACAAATGAAAAGACGCTAAACCAAATGAAAATGTTTTTTGTTACATTGTGTCATTTTAATGCTAGGTAGATTGTCCTGTTGGCTGGATGTGGCACTACATATGTAACACCTTTGAGTCGATATATTTGATGTTAAAGCATTACAGACTTTAGTTATTGACCATGGTTTCGGTAAACTCGTGATTTACCTTTAAAGTAAAATTTTTGTATATAATTTGGTACTTTGTAAATTGAGTAAATTCATACAGACTCTTTTTGTTGGTTTCTTTTACAAAGTGAAAACGAATTGGTCTGCAATATCTGGTAGAACTTGGTCTAAGATTTTGCCATAAAATTACTTTTTTTTTGTTTTTGTCATAAGCAAAAGTTTGTATATGTACCAACGACGACGCAATTATATTAGCGTCTTTGAAATTTTCTTTTGATGTTCTTTGTTTTTATTGACTCTGTGTTCTACTGCCATCCAAACCCCACTTGAAAACATTGGTAATATTCTTCAAATTACAATTGTATTAGTTTTTTTTATAAGATATCTGTTAGATTGATAAAAAGAGCTTCTGTCGTTAGGCCCACTAAAACTTGAAATTATATATCAGTTTTATCTTCTGTAATATTATGGGCAGCATCTGATGGATAACAGGTTTTTTTCTTTCTTAATGCTGTGGTAAGATAGATAAATATTAATACTTTTTCTATAATACTGTACTTTGTCGTAACATTATATATTGCAATTTGTTTAACTTCAAGGAGATAATTAAAGTCAGAGCTTCCTCGGGAGAATACATATTGTGTTGTACCATGGCCGATTATATGCTTTTTTCAATCTTGTCAAATTATGCTATTTTCAATTTTCAATGATTTTTTATTGAAAAATGTTCGATATTTTGATTACATCAATTCCATCTTCGACTTACAAGGGAACTGTCGGAGTGTCTTTTAATAAATTTTAATAAAATTTAGTTAATAACTACGTTAAAAGTATACAAACTCTATTTTAAATTTGTAGCATTCATTAAAAGTGTTGATCAGAGTTATTAGCAATCAAATGTTGCACTACTTTATAGCAGTTTAGCACAATTACACAAATTTTTACGTAATTACGCAAACTTTGAGTTGGAGGAGGTAGGCTTAACGATTTCGTTGTATGTATTTTGGTCTTTAAGTTCGTTGAAACATTCTAATAAGGATGAGAACATGTCCTGGGCTAACTGAAGGTTGGTCAGGATGCTTTCTCTTATCTCCTTTTTTAAATTTCGGCTAGAATCCACAGCTTCTATGGCTGCTGTTCTATGGCTACAGTCTTCGAAATCCATGGCAGTGGGAGCACGGGATCGAGTCATGATGTCCAGATTAATTTTACCTTTGCTTATTCTACTTATCTACTACTATATTATTAATTTCTAGCAAATATTAGCAGCTGTGACACACAAGACTACCAAAGCACAAATAGATGGTCTACTTACCATGCTTCTCCAGTGAATCAGTCAAAAAACAGTAGAACGATGAGAACACGTCTTACTATTTTAATGACCTAAACTGAAAGGGCCCCACTGTATGTTAGAAAGAGGAGGTTCATTTTCATCCTCTGTTCCCACCGATATCTGATGAGATCAGATTTAATTTAAAATTTAATTTTTATTTACACTTGAAATATTTCCAAAATATATTCTTTATCCTCAGAATTAACCCTTTTGCTTTTTTAGTAGAGGAGAAGATGGTATTATGGAACCCCAATTACATTTTAGTTAATTGTAAACAAGGTATCATAACTACACCTACATTTTTTGTGCAGAAAGTACTTGTAACTATTAAACTAAATGTTCCTAATTGGATTTTTTGTTAGTGTAACTATAAGTATGGTTTTTAAAGGCTTTTGTACAAAAAGTCAGAAAGTAGGCTTAGAGAAAATTAGGTGGTAATATGGAACCTTACTGTATATTTTCAAAAATGCTTTAATGTAGCCAAAAGCAAGTAAAAAAGTTCAAAGATTGTTAAATAATTACAAAATCATTTACTCCAATGTATTTCAATGCAAAAATGAAAAGTCATAAGATGGCAACTACTTTAATGAGAAAAATAGTCTAATTTTTTTATTCTCAGCAACTACAACATTTGGTAAAATATAGACTATTAGTCTACAAAATTTAATTTTTGAAAAACGTTTTTAAAAACAAGAAAATTTAATATTTTAAAATTAGTCTATATGTAAATGCACCATCTTACCCCACCTATGAGGTAAGATGGGGATTTTATTTTTATAGACTATAGACTACAAGAAGGACAAATTAAAATGGTTAAACTATCGCTTTCTTCAATATTGGCACAAGAACAGTGTGCCCATTTATCACAACTGCTACATTTATTGTTATTTTTCAAATAAATAAACATAAAAGTTTGAACTTACTTGTAGACTATTTACTTTACCAGACGATACTGTCACTTCGCGCATGCTCAGTTTCGCTATTTTGTAAGCAGACGATATTTTTTTTC